GGAAAGCATCCTTAAATTATGCGATTAAGAAAAGGTTAAGTTAATTTTGCTGCTTAACTAACCGTAACGTGAATCTCATTTTATTCCAACAGCCAACCAACAGTGCACATAGCACATAGCACATAACCCATAACAGAGGATTCGAACTGCGAAACACGTTATGATCATTAATAACAAAGGGATTTCAACTTCTTGCTGCGAACGCAATTTCAGATTACCTTGCAATGAAAAAATTCAAAATGAAATTTAGTTAAATACACTGAACTCTAACTCTAACTCTAACTAGCATTTTATTTGGCTTTTGAACTTGCCACCCGTTGGCACATTTCATAGCCTGGAAACAAATTTAAATTACGCGCACCGCAAACAATGAACGAACGCACGAAATACTAATGAGGTCCTTCAACAGATTGAGCAGAGTCGGCTCCGGCAGGCATAAGGTAACCATTTGTGTATACATATTCGTTACTTCCAGTGAATTTCAAGATAAATAAATAAAAGTTTTAAAGTTTTTATATACACTTTTTGGTACTGAAAGTATCTGCGGTACTGGTTTTTAACACTTAATCTAAGTGGTTCATTATGGAAGCATAATGCGTTATAAATAAATCCTTTCTAAAGTATAAAGCATGGCATGTGCCTGAAACTGCCAACGCATGCAAGCTAAGCACATTCATTTGTTCCTTTTTTGTAAGGATATCGCATGCATTCCGTGCATGAGTTCAAGTGAAACTAAGTGAAAAACTTTTATCTCAACTGTGCACAAATTTTTTACAACATTTCATCCAGCATCCAAAAGGAAGTAAGAGTTATGCTTCGTTTTGGTAGTGCCAAAAAAGCGAAAATCACAATGTAAATATGTGCATGCATTTTAATTCATTTGAGAAGTGAATAAATATAAAAGTCACTGCTACTGAAAAACTGGTACTCTTACTGAAACTGGAACTGGAACTGAAAGACGTGTGGGGGTAACATAAAGTTTTCTTATCAGGGAAATTAAGATCTAAGTCACATATATTTACGAATATCACAGTTACATTATTCTTGCATATCGAAATTGAATTTAAAAAAAATTTCGTACGATGGTATAATTTAGTAAAAACAAACAGCTATTCTTTGAGTCCAACAAATTTAAAAACAAGGAAAAAATGAAGGGTGTTCAAATATGCGCTATATATTCTGAACCATTCTATCCATAAATTGATTGTGTCGCGAGATCTACGGCATGTTGCAAAATCTTGTTCAAACTGCCTCTTGTCTATTGTAATAATAATATTTTTGCAATTAGTGTAGTAATACTAGTTGCCTTTTTAATAATAATAATAATAATAATAATAATAATAGTATAGACAAATTAAATTTCATGGATATAAAAGTATTTCTTGAGCCGTATGTGGATTTGCTGCACTCCAAAGGAGACGATTTTGCCATTTCAACAAAATAAAATTAAATTCTCTTAAAATCGCTAAACATTAATTTGCAACGAATTAATTTCTAGCGTGTCTTGAGTTAATTAATTATCTGAAATTCAACTAAAACCCAAACTTCGAAATTTCTACACAATAAGTGGACATTAATAAATGATAACTAACTAAATGATAACCATAACTATCTCAGAAGAGTCTCATCCATTTACTTTGATCTCTTATTGCTGACTATCTCTTGCGAGTGACCTTTTGTCTATTATTTATGCCATAGAACAGCTATATTGTAGGATATTAAGTGTGCTAAGAAGTGTCGTCTACTATGTGTAACATTGTACAGCCAAATAGTTAGTTGTACCTCAACTGTCTCAAGAAGTCTCTTCTATTTATTATTGTCCTTTGCTGCTGGTCACTATTTGTCTGTCTATTTTGATAGTGATGTTTCTATTATTTTTATTTATATAGATTTGTACTTTAGGGACAATATCAACGTTTCAGTTGCAAAAACAATTGGTGTTATGAGGGTCTTGAGTAGCAGGGTGTTTGATACTCTGAATAGTGGTTTAATCGCTAACTACTGGTTTAAGTGACATGCTAATGTCACTACTGATTAATGATAAGTATGTAAGTATGTAAAGAGCCTAATTACTTCTAATTTTCCGTTTTCTATTTGAAGTTAGTTGTTATTAATAAAATTATAAACAGAACTAAATAACCTTTATTTTTCAATTACATAAAACATAGTTGTCCAGACCAGATGCAATCGTGGGCCAATACAAATTACTGTATAGATTAAAGGACAAAAATTCGATTATATGATTAAATTTAGTTCTATTGATTAATTTAACTTCATTTATTTCATGAAATAAGGTAGTTTTAGCAGTACATCAAAAGAAAATTTGAGTAATTATGGTAGATTCAAAACATGTCGCGGACCGCATGTGGACCGCTGGCCGTGATTTGGATAGCCATGATATAAAATATACTATAAATTCATGTACTGCACGAAATGCTGACTGAATAGACTCAGTCTTTTTGTAATGAATTTTAATAATTCCTAAATGTCATGCAGTTGTGTAGCTTTTCACGGTGTTTGTACAAAGAATACTAAACGCAAATATCAATTTCAGTGGAAATTCGAATGAATAAAAATGTCAACTATGCCGCATAAAAAGTGTGTTGCCTGATTGATTCACCCTGTATACGAACACCGAACAGAAGTAATTGTAGCATGAAAACGGAAATATGTCAGAATTGTGTTCCTGTAGTTCACGTTTTTGTTTTTATTTTAGGTCAAAATCATTAAAAATTTTTGGTCAACTCATTCATTTGCAATAATCAATAATAATTCATGTAATTTTCCGTAATTTGTGTTTGTGGTATTTCCCAAACCAATCCTACATAAATCCTACATAAAGTGTAACTAAAAAATCGATTCAGTGTCTCTTTGTTATATTTATTTTTTGTGTTATTAATATTAATAATAAAGCAATACCATTTTTACATAGCACTCAGTCTCGTAAAGTAATTAAATTTATTAAATAAATTCCGATGTCCTTTAATATTTTAAATGGTCTGGCAAATGTAAAATTTTCATGCAATGCTGCATACTTTTAGGGCGAACTACTTATCCAGTATTTACATTTCAACAAATAAATTGACTTTCAACATTTATCATAATTATTTATTTATGATTGGTCCTGGTATTTTTTAAGTCACTCGTGAGGATACATGACTAAGTAAATAAATAAAAGGACAAAATGAAAATAAAAATAAAAATATTCATTACACGTTTCAATCAGAAATATTTTTAGTCATCATTATTGGGAACATCATCATGGCATTTCTTTCTGAAAGGTTTATTCATTTTATATAAATTCATAATAAATCCACTTTCATATATATATATATATATATATAAAATTTCATTCACTACATAGCATATAAAATTTTTTATGCCATCATCAGCAAATATTAATAACAAATATTCCTTCTTTTGTTACGTGTCTCTACGGGAGTTGTCGATTTTTGGGCTCACAACGAAGTGGATTTCACATAAAATATTTCTAATAAAATATTAAAAGTTAGGACGAAGTGGATATAGTATTTGAATATAATCAAAATTTATTAGATATTTGCTAAATAAACGCGGACAATGAGTCACGAGAAATGTTTATTATTTTTATTAATAAAATTGATTTATGAAGGTTGTGCGCTGAAGCCAATTGAATAAAAGGTGCTGAATATTGAAAAATATTTTTTTTTATTTCAACGAATAAATAATTATATATTACCTTGTAAAATATTTAATAAAAATAGGTTAAGTAAATGAGTATAAGAGTATACAGAAATAAAGAGAGCATAGTTAAGTTTATAAAATAAATGTTTAAAGTTTTTGGCTATTAAAAGATACGATATAAATATATTTAATTTTATACAATGTTCTATAAATTCGGAAGGTACTTCTTGAACTTAAGTATTAAGAAATGTCATACATAACGAAGTTCTCATTTATGCGTTGTTCAAGAAATGGAGTACGCTGGAAGGAAAGATACTTCATATAAATATCAATATATAAAAAATACTACGACACAGTTAAAATTGACAATAAAATTTACATGAAGTTAGAAATAGGAGTAAACAGGGTACCAGCTACCAACGGAGCGTAGCTCTGCGACCATGGTTAATCTTTTGTGCTGCAACAGACCCTAACCGAACCGAAGACATTCCGTCTTCCGACTGAAAGCTAGAATATCGGCCGTTGAGGACCTCCTAATGTCAGAAGGAGAGTGTAGTTCTCGTCTCAGTGAGCTCTTCCTGGCCCAGATCAAGTCTAGTCTGCTGCTAACTAGAGTCGACAATCTATCTCTTCGGACAAATCCATTTTGATAAGGTGATAATGCAGTCAATGGTGACCCGTTAAATATCCCACTAGCAACCTTAACTCTGTTCTGCTGAAGAAGGATACCTTACCATAACTGTAGGGATGAACCAGCTCTTTTGCCTGACGGTTACCTGTAATGTCGCGCCAGTAGAGTAGAATGAATGCTATGTGAAGTTAGTAAATTTAAAAATTAGTTGATCTAATTTATTTTCATATTCTTCACATTTTTGTTGTTATTAGAGGCCAAGATGCAATTTGATCAGAACACACTTTGCATAAAAACAGACGATCGATGTAGGATGTACAGGATAGTAAAGTTTTTGGGGACTCATCTTATGATATTTTTGTTATTATACGGTATTCGACTTCTTCAAATATCTGGCAAAAATAATGCGGATGATGGTATTGAACATGAGAAAGAATCCGACGAAGACTACATCTTAGAGGCACCGGAGAAAATTATATCAAGTGGAGCAGTTGAACTTTTCAACAAAGCAGTAAGTGAAAATGCAATTATATAAGTACTTAGACGTCTAAGGGAGAAAGCTGTGTTTTAATTATTCGAAAAAAAGAAAACCCAAGAAAAGATGACTAACTTTTTTAAATTAAAAATTTTCTCAAACTTCTTTTCACGCCATATATCTTAATTCTAAATTAATATGTACACATAAAAAGAAAGAAACAACGAAATGTGAATTTAAATGTGTATATATGTATTTCCTTTACTCTTATTTGACACTCAAAGACCTGAACAATTTGATGACGTGAACTCCCTTGGTTTTAATTAGTTTACGTTTTCGAGCGGGCACTGTAGTTTTAAAAGCCATTAAATTTACTCTGCTTTAGCTGCTTTGTTTTCAATTAATTTCTCTTTGACAAATTTGCCTAATATATCAGCACCATCCTGATTATTTTTTTGATAATACGGCAACGTTGCCATACGTTCAACCCAAGCACTTAATTTTGGGAATTTCTCTGCATCAATCGCCGCAAAAATCATTGCTGTCGACACTGAAGCAACACAACACAAATCGGCGATGGTTAAATGCTCGCCACACAAATACGGCGAATTAGCCAAACATTTCTCCAAGCCATCATAAGCTTTTTGCATGTAAACAATTTTGTCTTCAGAAATATTATCGCAACCAAAGTAGATAACCGGTTCAACCATGAAGCGTACGCGTGGAAACAAATGACCGCAGTCAAAATAGAGACGAGCATCTACTTCCATGCGTTTGACTTTCTCTTTTGGGTAAAGAGTTTCATTTGGTCCGTATTTATCAGCTAAATAAGAGCAAATGACGTGTGAATCCGAAATGACAATGCCGTTGTCATCCAAAACTGGTATTGTGTGCTGTGGGTTGAGCTTGAGGAATTCTGGTGTCAAATGATCGCCAGCTTTCAAATTCATTGGGCTAAAAAATACAATTTATTTTTATAGATTTTCGTTATAGTAAGTGTATTAATTGACTACCGTAAATCAAGTTCTAAGCCAACTGCTGCCGCTGTCAGAAGTACCGCACGGCATGGTGGACTGCGTGGCGTATAGTAAAGCACTGGTTTAGTTGACATTGTGGCTATAGAGTTATCACTGTAGCTAGTAAAGCAAATACAAATTTAATTTTAAATTTAAAATAATTATTATGGTACTATATCTTATCTTAAGATCTCAACAAGCTTTAAAAGATTTAACACTAAAGACTTAATGCATAAAAATAAATTTAAAACAAATGGAAATAAATTTTGTATATAAACAATTCCACTTAACCGACTCTTATACTAACTTAATCGTGCGGCGAACGATTTCTCACTGATTGCTATGTGACCCGAAAGCTACAATACAAGCGATACATATAAAAATAAAAACCTAAATTGTGAGTACAACCAAAAATAATAAATTCTTGTTCTTATTATTTTTGCTCTGAGTAATTTTTATATAAAAACTTTAATAGTATTATTATTAAAAGCAAAGAGCAAAGAGCTTAAAAAATAGGAATGTATGAGTATCATACAATACTCAATACTTATTTATCATATCAATACATGTAAATATCAGTACGTAAATATCAAAGTATTGGAAATTTTTCTCTTAATAGAAGCTTAAATATATTCTCTCTTTACGCTTATATCGTTATGCTCAAAAAAAAACGTGCCAGTTTAGAACTAGTTCACTACTTTAAATATATTTTAACAATATTACACGTCGGATCTGCGGAAACAATAACTTTACGGGAAAATTCGACTTTATTCATCAATATAGTCACTTTTTAGAGTAATACCAACGTTTCTCAAATGTTTAATAATAATTCTCTTGTAGAATGATTTATTTTTGAACTTAAAATATGTCTCAATCTTAGCCATGACTTCTTCATCGAAGCCAAATATCGTTCCCTGGAGCCTTTTTTTTTGAAATCTGCCAACAAATATTAATCACAGAGGGTCAAATCTGGTGAATACTTTAGGTGAGAAAGCAATTTGAAGTGGCACAGTATTAGTGAAGGAAGACTTTTTTCTTCTTCTTTTATTGGCAATTTCCTCCTTCAAACGCTTCAGTTAATAGTTAATAGTGATCGCTAGTGATGGTCAGTCTTTTTCTTAGTTAGTCGATGAAGACGAGCATCCCAAAATATGAACTACATAGCCTTGACAACTATCCGTTGGGTTTTTAATTGCTTTGGGTAAATGGCAGCTGTCCACTCAGCTGACTACAGAATTGATTCTGAAGTGAAGTAATGAATCCAAGTTTCATCCATTATTTTGTTGAAGTTTTCCAGTGTCATAACCTCTTTTGGGAGAGCAGTGCATTCGGCAATATCGATGTTTATACGGTCGTGCCTAAGAACAACAAACCACTTCTGTACCATTTATAGAGCGGAGACACTTTTCAAGTCAGACACTTATCAAGTCAAGTGGTTGACTTGATCAAGCCTAGCTTTCGCTGTTACGGTGTATTTTCCCATCAAAAAGCAATGATAAATCAAGGCTCAGAATTGCTTTGAATCCATTGTTCTGAAAATAAAAAAGCAAAATCACTATTTTAGTTGTAACTAAATATACAACCGTTGAAATGTTATAAAATTTTAACAGGTTTGATTTAAATATTACTACTTTTTAAAATTTAAATGGATAATTCATCAGTAGCACTGTCCGTGCTTCATCTTAAGGACTTATCAGCCAATATGTTGTTGAATTGTTGTATCTCCTTTCCTCCTTCTATCCTTCTTTCCAGATATACAGTCTGACTTCCTACAGTCAGACTATTTATCTAACTTACATTATGTTTATCTAGCTTCAACCTTTAGTACCAAAGCCCAATAAGCACAAATAATGGCCCGTTGTCACTACTAGCCTAGGTTAGGTTGAAGTGGCAGCCTTGTATCCAAAGTCCACTGGAACTCAAATAATGGGCCTTCATATGATAAAATGAGTTTATATCAACAAAAAAAAGAAGAATAAATTAGTTTTTAATACAATTAACAATTAAAACTTTTCTGACAACGTTTAAAAATTGAATTTGGAACTAATGAAATCTTTTTTTTTATGTGCAAAAATTATCTATGTCGACGTGGGAATTCCCCGAAACAGAAATCATTTTTTCATTTGCATTTAAATAATTTAATTACTTACGTTTACCTTATATTTCATCACTTTAGACAAAAATCAAACACAAATAAAATAAAATTTGCATTTTGATTAAATTAATTCATTTAAAACGAAATTATAAATTCTCTGCGGAATACCAGGACAAAAGGACAAAAGACCCGGTAAAGTAAAAACTTTGATTAAAATTTGTGTTGAGTACCTCCTCGAAGAACTTTCAGCAAAAACAATTTATGATTTTTGCAAGCAAAGCCAACAATGATGGACAAAAGGCTAAGGATCAAATTTTGCAGGATTTTAATAAATTCTATTAAAAATGTAGAAAATGAAATAATGTAGTTTGTGAAAGTAAAATTAAAAATTCAAATTAAATTCCATTTCAAAAACTTTTAAGGATATTTGTTCTCGATGAAATCAACTAAGATAGAATAAATATTGAAAGTTTCTGACAAAAATATTTATTTATTTTGAAGATTTATTGAATTATTTCAAAAAAAAAATATTTTCGAGTATTCAAGCATTTACTTGTTTTTATTAAATATATATTTTATTTTATTTATTTTAATACTTTTTTGCTCATTTAAATTAAATGAATATATCATTCAATTAAAGTTTACAGCTCTTAGACAAAAACAAATAAAATATTCAGTACAATCCTTTCAAAAACCAATAAAGTTAAATGAATTCGATTGAAACACTTTCCATAAACCATAAAAAAATTAATATTTAAACCTCAATATTCCATAACTAGAACTAGTCCATAAGTTGATTTAGTTGAATGGACCAATATGTCTTTAAGGATTTATTTACCATAAAATGTATGAGACACAAAACGAAATAAATTTACTGCTTCGAAAAATATTCATTTCATTTCATGTGTGAAATACAATGGAATATTATTGAATTTATAAGATTATATTTTAATTTTTATTTTTTTTTATAACGAAGAATTTTTTTAAAACAACCATATAACCATATAACGATATACAAAAAATCAAGGAGATAAGTCAACATGCATCTTGGGTTAGCGTTTTCTCATGCACGCTTGACAAAAGTTTTTTAATGACTTTGTTTAAGAAACGTCTCAATCGGTTTCTTTATTGTTCTTAAATAAATATTTATTTTAATAACAGTATCAGTGATAAAGCAACAAATAATGTTCATGATTAAAATATTAAAAAAGATCGATTTAATAATAAAACAGTCGATAAGTCGGAATACTCCAAGTTCTTCCATGTTCCTAGCACAACCTGAAGGAACATTTGTACCGATATAAAATTACTTTGAAAATTGAAGAAATTTGACTTAATTGTGTAAATAATTTTATTAAACAATCTCTACATATACATATATCTCTTATCAAAAAAAACAAAAGTGATATGAAAGGTTTAACCAATATTTGTAGCACATCTGTCTTCTCGTTTGCAACTATGTGCATTTGGATGAATAAATTTGAAAGTGATTTATAATCGTCTATGATGCAGATAGTTTTGAGTATCCACTCTACAACACACTGGAAATCATCGATTAAATATACGACATTGTTTTGAATAATTGTTGAGTGAAAATGCGCGAACTTCTAAAAGGAACAGACGTTTCACATGCTATTGAGTATAAAAAATCAATCGCCAAGATGATTGCTATATTTGCTCCCAGTATATTAGAAACTTTTCCATATGGTGATTTCAAAACTATATTTAGAGATGTATAAATGTATCGATTTATTAATAAAGGTTTGGTAGAGATCTATCACTAACGCATCTGAAATGAAGAAGAACTTCAAGTTAATCAGAAAGGTAATGGGCACAGTTTTCTGGAATACAGACGTTATAATTACTATGCCTTACTTTCCGCCGAAGCAAAGAATACAAACGGATTACTATTGAGATTAATTGGAACAATTCATTAATTTTTTAAAATAAAAAAGTCTTAAAGAAGAGAGCTTTCTAATCCATGCAATGCATTAGATTAGGTTACAAAGAGCTTTCCAAACAAAAAATTTTGACAGATTTAATCTCATGCAACTATTCACTATTATTAAATCTTGTCATAGTTCTGAGGAGAGGGATGTCATACCTTATAGTAACAAGTCAACCTATAGAGGCTTATTTTGATAAATTTAACAAGTCATATAATACAAGCGACTTCAAAAAGCTCAAGAGTCATTAAATTAAATATTTGAAACTGAAAGGAGACTATAAGTATATTGAGAAATGAGAATAAATCAATCTACAAATATGTGGTTTATTATGTTTCTCTAATAATATGTAACCTTACACTCATCTATGCATACTTTGAAAAATTTATAGTCTCAGTAGTTGTAAGGTATATGATTTTTAAATAATCAGATTTTTATGTTATAATAATATATCATACAAATTTTCATACCATTTATAATCTAACACAGAATAATTTTATGCCAGAACACCTTAAAAATTTTTAAAACTTTCTTCGGGAAATCGAAAAAAAAACAGTTACTTAGAATTCCCTACGTTACATGTCACACTTTAATATAATATGAACTTAAAGTTCCTAAACACATAAGTGTTTTCTAAAATTTTCTATTACCGCTTCGCGCCCACCCAAAAACCAGGAATTATGTTAATGGCATTTGCCATGCCACCAAAAAGACTCTTTAAATATCAATAAATGGTTTTGTCAGTTAGTCTTGCCATACTTTTCATTCTTTTTGACTTATGGGCACAAACAGAGGTGTCTGCTAGGTTTTGATGAATACTCATATAAATTTTTAGGTTCTTTAGTAAAAAATAGTTTCTTTGAAAGATAAATATTTTTTACTTTCAAAACGTTTTATAAACTTTAAAAAAAAACTGCTTTAAATAATTGAAAATAAATTATTAAATACGTGGCATCACTAAATGTTTAAAATGCTTTTAAAATTTATATTAAAAATGCTTTGCTATGCTAAAGGCAGAACGGAAGTGCGGACGGACGGCTGAACGGACGGATGTTACGGCATTACGCTCAGAACAGAAGAAAATGACACTAAAAAGCTTTCAATTTAATCGCACAAATTCTGGAAAATTATAAAATAAGTTGACTGTCAAGACACAGACGGAATGCCTGAATGCCTACAGAGCAGGAAAGCCTTAACGTACCTACAGCAGACAGGTATGGCTTGGCGTACCTAAGTAGGAGCTGAACGATACGAGTAGCTTGGAGCAACGTTTTCATCTACTTTTCCTGATAAAAATTAAAATTATTTCAATTGACAATTTTTTTTT